ACAAACGGGGGGGGGGGTCAGAGACTCTCCTCTCCTCTCTGTCCAATCACAGCGCCAGAACATAATTATTTTCTAAACTAAATAAACTGGAATTCAACCACAAATCAATCTGTTCTCCACTTGAAGAACTTCAGACTCGATTGAAGCTCAATCAAGGCGGGAAAAAAAATCAATCCTGACCAATTATAGCTGCTTTCATTAGCGTATGCAAATGAGGCTGAGATCAGATCCAGGCTCTGACCCCCCCCCCCAGTCAGACCAAGACACCTGTGAGTCTCACCTGTGTGTGTGTGTGTGTGTGTGTGTGTGTGTGTGTGTGTGTGTGTGTGTGTGTGTGTGTGTGGTCAGTTTGTCATGATTACACTGCTTCACACACACACACACACACACACACACACTGATCCTTGTCACCTGTTCTGATGTTTCTCACCTTTTTTGTTTGTTTGTTTCTCTGATAATAAGAAACAAACAAACAAACAACAGAATATCTGAAGTTCAGTAATTATTATTATTATTAAATACAGTAAATATAAACAATATAAACAATAAAAAACATTGAACAGGCTGAAGCTTTAATAACTAATTAATAATTATCACATCATTATAATGTGAGCGACGCACAAACACTGACTCACGTCTCTGTGAGTCAGTGTTTGTAAAACTAAAAGCAAAACACACACTTTTACATTTATGACCATAAATTATGACCATTGTTCTGTAATTTAACAGAAAGATCAAATAAGAGACGACCACAGCAACAAGGGAGATAAAATAAGAAATTAAATAAGAACAAATAATAAATAAGAAACAATCTAGAATAAATGAGATAAAGTGGAAATAATAAAGTATAAATAATATAGAAATAAATAATGAAGTGGTTGTGCAGTTTAGTTAATAAGTTAATTCCACGTGTTCCTGCTGTAGCTGCTGCAGGTGAAGCTGCTTTAACTTCTTCATGCTGTTACACAGTTCAGTCTGGTGGTTCCCAACCCACGGGTCGGGCCCCTCAGGGGTCACCAGGTAAACCTGAGGGGTCTTCACATGATTCATGAGCAAGGAGAGAAGAAGAAACCGTTTTACTGAGCTGATGATAACTGTGATCTTTAAAAGAAAAATATTAGCATCATGTTCATGACACACACCTTCATCTTCTCACTGTGTCACTGACACACAGTCTGTCTGCACCCGGACCTGACAGACACAAAGACACGCAACTGACAAATAACAACGTCAAAGATGGTTTTATTATCATTATTATTATTATTATTATCATTATTATTATCATCATTATTATTATATTATATTATTATTATTATTATTATCATTATTATCATTATTATTATTATTATCATTATTATTATTATTATTATTATTATTATTATTATCATTATTATTATTATTATTATTATTATTATTATTATTATCATTATTATCATTATTATTATTATTATCATCATCATTATTATTATTATTATATTATTATTATTATTATTATTATCTATAGATTTCATGATAATATTGATACTGTGTTGTGATCATCTGTCTGTGTCTCAAACAGTTGTTGAGATGAATCCACACACACACACACACACACTCTTTATTATTTCCAGTAGCAATCAGCTGAGCTCCCTCCATTTTTATTTTGAAATCTTGGTTAAGACACGTATTTAATGGCAGGCCTTTCAGTCTGCTGTCGTGCTGATAATTGTTTTTCATTGTTATATGTTTGTCTCTGTTTACAGTGTATTTATTGTATTTTACTTATTTCATTCGTTTGTTTTTCCACTTTTATTTGTTTGAATGTAACATGGACTTTTAGCAGCTAAGCTCTTAATCTGAAGGGACCAGTGACTCCAGCTGTCAGATGAAATGTTTCTCTCTCATTAAATGAAACACTCTTAAAGGGAGCTTCAGTCCTTTAGTAAATGCCCCCCCCCCCAGCTGAGCGGGACCTGAGATGCTGTTGGGATCATTTCACACGGTCCAGGCCCCACGTGGATTCCAGGAATGGTATCGATCCTGCTCTGGGAGCTGCATCGTCCTCCTCAGCATCACATACATTACAGCAGCAGCACAGAATAGATGGCAGAACAATGTATTTAAAGGCATTACCCTCCGGCTAATGGCAAGTCTTGGAGGGGAGTGTGTGTGTGGGGGGGGGGCTCGGTCATTTACCCTTGTGAGTGGTCAGACCGCTGCAGTTCCCAGCACAGCAGCGGGATTTAAAATGATGTCCTGGGTGGACTACATTCACCGGGATTCAATTTGGAAATGTATTCATATTTACTTAGTGTACCTGCATTGCATTTGTATAGATCAGCTGGGGGTAAAAGTAAAATTGAGCAAATCGAATCAACATATTGGGACATGTGGGGCGGTTGTATGGAGTCCACAGCCGGGGTCACTCCAATGCCTTTTATGATGTCCCTCTGAAATCTATCTGAATCACATTAAATTGGATATAAAGATGTGCAGACACATACATCACAGTGAATGGTGTGGCGGAGCAGCGCTCGCCAAGAATCCCACCTCAACAATCGGGTTATAGAACCGGCTTTAGATCCTATTAATAATTCACAATCTTGTTAGAGGAGAACAAACATTTCTGTTCAAGCAATTTGAGTTGCTGGATTGTTATTAGAGGCGGGAGGCGGGAAGAGGCTGAGGCGTCACACACACACACACACACACACACACACACACACACACACACAGAGAGAGGCTGTGAAATGTGAGCCGGCTGTGTGTGGAAGAATAACTCCATGCTATTTCACAGTCTCTGCTTTCTTTATTAAAGCGCCGTCACAGTAAACATGTCCCGGCCCGACTCAGCTGTGCAGCCGCTTTCCCGCCTCCGACGCGTCGGCAGGAGGACGGCCTTTATTACTGAGGACACACGGCCTCGTTATGATGTGCAGCTACATTCATCATTAATAACAGACAATTATTTATCTCTGTTAATCAGTTATAAAATGTCAGAAATAGAATATAACATTGAAGATTTAAAATGATGAAAGTCTTTTATTAATGTTCTAACAGGCAACGGGCAGATGTTTCCAGATGTTTGACTGTGACATCTGCTTTTTTTACATCTAAATCCTGTCAATGTGTGAGGATGATGATGTCAGCTCTTCTTCCTTTATTACAGTTTTAAAATCAGGTGTAAAAACGTGTGATGAACAGAATATGGACAGTGGAGGAGACAGAAGAGGAGAGACATAAAACAGATGTTCACAGCTGGAGAGATAAAATGATCAAATATGATTCAGCAAAATATAAAACGACAATAAGAGACACGGAAGAGTTCAGCAGCTCAGTGGCTGATGATTATATAAAAAGAAAATATATATATATATATATATATACAGTATATAAATGTGTATGTGTCAGTATTTTTATTTAAAATCTGGACATTTTGGCCTAAAACTTAATTTAAATGATTAATCAGTGATCAATACATTTGGTAGTGGATGATCTGTTGATGTTGTAGTTGTTCCAGCTCTGCAGCAGGTTCTTGTTGCTTTGTACATTTTCAATTTACAATAAAAACACAAAATTCTGTTTTTCTAAGTTTGACAGCTGGCAGACTGAACATGTGCAGGTAACACACAGGT